AACTTGAGAACTTGAATCACACAAGCCTCACTTTCTTACAACAACAAGACTTGAGTCACACAAGTCTTAAGAACAACACTCAAAAGAGATTGAGTTTACAACACAAGAATGAAAGCTTCACACAATTGAGCAAAGTAGTGTTGAAGAGTTAAAGCTCTATGGATGACAACTTCTTTAGCACTCAAAGAAAATATTTCTAACTCTCAAAAATAATATTTTGATGAGGAAGATGAAGCAAAGGATGAATATAGCTCAAGAGTATATTGGAGTGCAAAAGATGTGTTTGAAATGAAGGAGAATGAGGGATTAAATAGGCTGAAGAAAATAGAACCGTTGGAGCAGGCTGAGAATAGGCACCAGACAAAATTAATCGATTAAAGTGTAGAAATTAATCGATTAGACGGCGCTGTCTGAACTAATCGATTAAGGTGAAGAAAAAAATCGATTAATTGGAAAAAAGTCTTCAGCGAAGAATGCAATCTTAATCGATTAAGTTTGATGAAAAAATCGATTAGACTGCGCTGTGAGAGCTAATCGATTAAATGAATAAGAAAAATCGATTAGTAATGAAGGCTTGAGAAATCCGGAACTGGATCTAATCGATTAATTTAGAAAAATTAATCGATTAAAGTGGAAATAATGCGCAAACATAAAGGCCCCAAGCCAAGTGCGATTGGAAGCCTTTGGCTTCTAACTCGTTGTGTGGGACAACGGGAATATCCACGGACGCTCCATCTCCTATTCAATGAATTTGAGTAGGGGAGAGAAAAAGAGTCCAAAAATTATTTTGTGTGTCAAACGATGTACACGAAAAATATTTAAATTATATTTTTCTTACCAAAAAAAAATTGTGTAATCTTAAAAAATGTTTTCAAGAAATTTTGACACACTTATTTTGAAACTGACTCAGTAAAATATTTTAGGCAGAGGAAAATTAATTTTTTTCAACTGACTCAAAAATAATTATTTTTATCCCTCAAAAAAAATTTGTTTGTGCAGAAAACAATTGTCAGACTTACAAAGATTCGTAGACTTAATTAAAAAATTAAAAAAGTCTTCGGAGTCATCACTTCACTTCAAAAAAATCTGCGTTGGGGTGATCGTCGATTTTTTTATCACCGTAAACTTCTTGATACCCTTCTTTGCTTTTCTCGATACGAAAATAAATTTTCGATCAGCTTGAAATTAATCATCCTGTTTGTCATTCATCAAAACAAAAAAATATTCCAGAAGAAATAGTAAAGGGGTTTGAACTCATGTCCAACATATATCTTGTAATGTGATCTCAACCAATCCGAACGGAAGATGAAAGGCATGGGTCTTCATCTCTCGACTAAGGCGGTAATCAAAGCCCAATCGATTTGTAACTTAACAATCCTTTCTACCCCGTAAAGTCCATAATCATGCAAATTCTCCACAACTCATGAATGACGCTCCACACCAAACCCTTCCCTCAAGCTACCAAAAAATCTAGTACATTTCACCGGTACGTCCCCACACTCACGGTCTTGCCACACCCTATCATAACGATGTCTGCCGGGTGCCATGACTAGTACATCGCGGACAATTGGTCCCGGATGAACGCTCGTTCTTTGAAAATTCATTATTCTACAAAATTAAAATTTTTAGTCTATGAAAATGACAAATAAAAAACATGTAATGCACTACGAAAAATCTACAAATATATCACAAAAAAGTTGTTAGTTACTTCAACATATATTTTCAAAGATCTCATAAACATTTCAATTTTCTAAATTCTCAACATAGATCTAATCTAATTAGCTAATAATTAGTTAATATAATTTTAAATTAGATATTTTCAAAATAAATTAAAAATAGTAGAAAGGGTACCGTTAACCGACAAACGACAACGGACGACTGACGGTTGGCGACGGACAGCTGGGGCGCTGTTCTCTCTTCGATGCTCCTGGCCTGCTTTGAGTGTGTAAAAATGGGGTTTGGATGGGGGAAGATGGATGGTCAACCACCTATAATAAATTTTTTTTGGCTTAACGGTAGAAGTTGTATCGTTAACCTCTGATTTACTCTGACAGACACTGAACGGGAATGTTTTTGTGTTTCCTTCACTGATCGGGAATTAAATCCTACCTTGAATACCTCTACGTTTTTCCATTATTTTTCATTCAACCATTGTAGCCTTTATAGGTTTACAAAAGAGCATATCTCAAAATGTACTTTAAATATTTATATTTATATTGTTATGACTTATATTGATACAAAATACAAATATGATTGCAAAACTTTTGCTCTAACATTTTATGTCAACATAATCCATCAATTTTGTACTTACAATAACACAAAATGCGAGTATAAATCTTTAAGTATATTTTGGGATACAAGTAAATTTATTCTTTTTCATTTGTCCAAATTTCTTTTACTCTTTGCAATTTTCATGGGATCTTGTTTCTTTTGAGGAAGGCGATGTGAAAGAAGTGAAGGAACTATTACGAATAACGACTCGCTTCTCTTGACAACAAGAATGTGTGTCATATTATAAAAACAAGGCTTACAGGTACTCTGTTCAAAAATTTGATGGTTCCTAACCCCTATCCCCTCTTAAACTCCTCCTACCCCCCGCCCCCATCACCCTAGTAGCCTCTTGCCCCCCTCCCTCCCAACCCAATTGGTGTTTTGGGATGGGGGTAGGGGTGCTGCTGTGGTGGAAGGTAAGGAGGGTGGTTAGGGAGGTAGTAACCATCAATTTTTTGAACAGAGCACCATAGGTCATTGTTGTCACAATATGACAACATAACAATGGTTGTTGTCAAAAGAAACTCACCGTACGAATAATAAAAATAATGGGAAATAAATAATTGTTACTTCGTATATTGATGTAACTTTCATTATTCAATAAAATGATATATTATCAAATTGTATCATCGTATTGGAACTATGGTCTCTTTCCCAAATAAACCTGACCACCTTTTTTCTAACGTGCGATCAGTTTTTTCATCGATTGTCATCCGCCAAAGATCATGATTTCGCTGTCCTTTATCCCCGACCCCCTCTCTCTCCCTCTCAAAAAATTATGAGTGTGCCTAACAATTGTTGTCTCTTATCTCTCTCGCTCTCCAAAAAGATTAGGTGTGACCAAAAAAACTAAAAAAGTGCATTTGTATGTGTTTCTTCTAGATATCGAGAGCATGGGAAACAATAGAGAAGCATAGAACAATTAAGAAAAGAAGAAAAAGAAGAAATTTCTCGCCTTCGCTCCAATCATCAACACTCTTCATAGAAAAAATTAAATCCACTGTTTATTTACTACTACTACTACTACTACTACTACTACTACTACTACTAGTACTACTACTACTACTACTGCAGCTGCAGCAGCTGCAGCAGCTGCTGCTGCTGCTGCTACTACTACTACTACTATTACGGAATCGAGTTGGCCCGACGTGCACACTTGAACATAAACCGTGAACCCGACCCTTAAGTTTGTGGAGTCCAACTTTTTACGGGGCGGCTCGACCCTTACCCAAAAATCAAGCATAAAATCATTTGTGGTCGGGCTTATGCAAGGTTGTAGTGGGACTCGAGCCCATGATCGGGTATATAATTCTTCCCCTCAATTATATCCATTTCATCCAAATCAAGGTTTTTATAAGGAAATCTAAAATAAATGACTATTATATCTAATCAATTTTATTATGCCTCCAACTTCAATTAATGTGAATAGTTTTGACTTCACCTTATTTATGAAAAGTATTTAAAAAATAAAAAATGAGTGGTTTAAATTTATTTAGAAAAAAAAGAAAAAATGTACGAAGTAAGATACATATCTTTTTCTTTAATGAAAAGGTAAATAGTGAAATTTCTTAAAGACGGCCTAAAAAGAAAGTGTATCAATTAATTAAGGATGAGAAGAGTAGCTGTTTTATTATCAATGTCAATTGCAAGGTAAAATAATTTTGAAAAAGGACTAATATATAAAGATATAGCTTTTGTTTGGCATTATCTTCAAATATAACTTCGACATTTTAAAAATCTATCATACAATATTTTTTAACATTTCCATTTTGTACACAACTTACATAGAAAGTGTATGTATGTATGTATGTATGTAGATATGTATGTATGTATGTATGTATATATTCACACACACACACACACATATAACGTTAATACTAATCACAAACACTACACTCAAACAAATCATTTTTATTATGCCCTTCAACTTCAATTAATCTAAATAGTTTTAACTTCACCTTATTTATGAAAAGCATTAAAAAAATAAAAATGAGGGATTAAAATTTATTTAGAAAAAGGAGAAAAATTGAAAGCTACATATCTTTTCCTTCTATGAAAAGGAAAAGTGTAAAATTTGTTAAAGACAACCTAAAAAGAAAGTGTATCAATTAATTGGGGATGAGTTCACTAAAATTCTTTATGTTCAATGTTACTTGCAAGGTATAATAATCTTGAAAAAAGGACTAATGTATAAAGATATCGGCAAGGTTCCGTTGACACTGGTATTCAGTGTCAACAGATGATACTCGCTTATTTGGAGCTTCTCTAGTGCTCATTTCACAAAAGTGATGGTTCTTGCCCCCCTACCCCTCCTTAAGTTGCCACCGCACCCCCACCACAACCCGATCCCTGCATGCCCACCCTAGACCCCCTCTTACCCTCTCTAAATGTGTGTATATTATGTATTGCATAATAGCCACACATTTGGAAAGGGTTAAAGAAGAGTTTAATTTAGGGTTGGGGCCCAGGGATCAGGCTGGGATGGGGTGCGGAGGGGGTTTAGGGAGGGGGTTAGGGGGTGGGACCATCAATTTTTCACTTGTAGTATTGAAGGAGCTCTAAATGAGCGAGTGTCATCCGTTGAGACTAGATGCTAGTGTCAACGCAACCTTGCCGTAAAGATATAGCCAATGTTTGGCATTATCTTCAAAATCTAGCTTCAACATTTTAAAAAACTATCTTAGTATTTTTTTTTAACATTTGCATTTTGTACATAATTTACACGACTAAAAAATTGTATATATAAATAAAACGTTAATACTAATCGTAAACACTTCTCTCAAACGTATCCATAACGATAGATTAGTTATTACTTCTCCTTCGATCCTTTCCTCTTTAAAACCGAACACGAAATTGTTTCTTTATCTTTCCTTCGCAACTTCCATCCCTTCCTTCCCCTCGCATCCTTCCCCTCACATTCCCTCTCATCAAGCAAAATAAATTCCACTCCACTAAATATATTCCAATTATAAAGTTTTTTAAACAGATTAACTTCTTCTACTATAAAACTCTAGTAATAAAGGTTTTAATTTAGTCAACAATTAATTTTCATGAAGTACTACATCTGTCTCATAATAAAGTATTTGTTTTTTTAATGGAGTCCAAGAAATTGTAAAACCATTATTAAGATTTATGTTAATATAGGATATTCGATGTTTTATATTGGAAACGAAGTATTCTTTTTTTGGAACAGTTAACACACAATAGCTAACAACTAGTGGCCAGAATTGGGCTAGAATTCATGGTCCCTTTTGGAAAATCTTTGAATTCATTGCATAACCAAGAAGGCAAGAAACAACATATATTCTCCAAATCCTCAAACAGATGAATAGGAAGTATAAATCTGGGCAATAACTGTCTGTGAAATACCATGGCAAATGTGGGTACAATGTGATTAGTTTAATTACACAAATGTGTAGTTCTGTGCAGTTTTTAGTAAGAGGTGATTAGAGCGTGCAAAATTACAATTTTGACCCCCTCTCCTCAGAATTGGAAAGCCTAATTACACTCTTTCAAAATGGACAGAAAGTGCAATTACACTAAATGTCAATAGCATAGATGTTATCCCAAGGCTCTTTATTCTTAATATGTGGGCATTTTAAACAAGAGAATGGCATGAAAGACAGAAAACACAATTCTATTCTATTATGCCTTTATTAGAGAAGACCAAACAATACATATATGTAACAAGATACAAGAAAAAAGCTAGCAGCAATGCATTTCATTTCAATGACAACACAAAAAAAGAAACCTTTGACATCTCAGACTATATAATGATAATGCGAAACGTGCAAGTTCGTTAGGCGGGTAAAATATTTGCACTTTTTGTAGAAGCACTAGAAACAGTTCGGTAATAATGAATGGGAGCAGGGAAGAAACCTGTATCCTTTATCTAGTTTGTGGTGGTGAATGGTGGACACTCAAAGAAGACAATCCGACGGTGTCTGGGCTTTTGAGCAGATCCAGTTGTTTCTTACCGCGACGAAGCAAGTACTCGATATACAGGAAATTCTTGCGATCTACTTCCAGTGCATTGCGGCGGAACTCAGTTGACACAAGACACTTGATCTGCATTCTCTCCTCCTTTTGGGGTTTAGACCGTGCTGCTCTCAAGAATTGCCTGTATAGTGAAAGCACTTGTTTTTGCATTCCGGACAGCTGCTTTTGACCACTTGATCCGCCCCTCATACTAATCGGTAGTATTTCTTTTCTTTTTCTTGCCACCCTGCTTCAAACTTCACAATATTAGATGAGATATCATCATAATAGTTAATGACTTGATGTATAAACCACCACCCTTTTTCTCACAAGGTTGAATGAAATGGTTTGTCATCCTAACTCCTAAGTAACTGTATAAAAAAACAATCTTTTTTTCCATTAATAAACATTCTCTTGGTTTTGATAACTACCATGGGACCAGACCGACCAAACACCTGGCTGGTCTATGGCAACTCTGTCGGGCGCATGAGCTACGCCACACGAAACCACGACCGATTATCTACACAGTTAGAGAGTCATGTCTGCCTCCACTCCTTTCAGTGGGACCTGTCACGCCAAGATACTCCCACTGCATCTTCTTTGTGGTTATCTCTAGCACTCATTGTTGTATTATAAATAAGGATGTCCAAACTTGTCAATAATTATCAAGAAATATAATCACAACATATGTAGACCTTAAGCCAAAAACGACAATCACATTCTTGTCAACCTCACCTCCAGTTCCCTACTACGCCCTCTCAAGTCCCAACCTCATCAAGGAGCCCGTAGAGGAGATCCAGCACGAGGGCAATTAACATGCCAGCAGCCAACTTTTTCTCTCAAGCTTTCTTAAATACGGAACATATCTTTTTTAAGTTTCATGTTTCACCCCTCTTTAAAGTCAAATTTATACAGCGTAGATCATAGTAAGCTTTTAAGCTCGTACCCAGGACTCATCTCTCATTTTTTCTTTAACAATCTTATACTCCGTACTTCCTTGGACTCTTCATCCTTACAACTTCCTAAGAATTGGTACAATAACGGCTTCTCCTTCTTAAGGCTACCTTGCCAACTCCTCCCTCCGCTCCTAAAAACCTTTCCAGTTTTGACTTTTTTTAGTCAAACAGTGACACTATTTGACCACAAATTAGACATAATCTAAATAAATAAATGACATAAAAATTTGATATATCAAAACTATGTCCTAAGATTAATCCAATTATATTGAATTTATATTATAATTAAATATACTTTTCTCACATTTGGGGTCAAAGAGTGTCAAAGTTTGACCAAAAAAAGTCAAAACAGGAAAGGTTTTTAGGACCGGTAGGGAGTATGTAGTACTCCATCAGTCCCACAAAAAACTTCACAGTTTTCTTATCAAAATCTCCCAAAAAAATACCTTCACTACAACTTTTTTCTTCAAAGGTAAGGAATATGTAAACCTTCACAATACTGAACTGAATTGAATACTGTTGAAAAACACAACTAGATTCTTCAAACAATATTTACAGCTAATATACAAACTCACATCAAACCAGGGCGTATAATTCAAATGCAAAAAGTATCTTACATAAACCACATCTAAACAATCTAGGGTAGATTGATTCCCGAGCACTATAAATTGAATTCGGTCAGAAAAAAGGGGGATAAATGGATAATAGCTCATCATCATATTCATCCATTCGAAGATTACTGCTTGATACTCAATAATTGAATAATTCTACTGCCAAATTCGATACAAGAGTGTTCAAATTTTCAAGAAAAAAAGAATTCTAAAAGAAAGAAATTGGTGGACATGCTTACCTGTGCCAGGAATCATACACGTATAAACTTGAATTGAATACCAGTATTAGTTAAATTTGATGGTATGGAGAAGATTTACGAAAGGCGAGAGAGGAAAACGAAGAGAGCAGTATGCAAACTTTTCTTTTCTAAAAGTACCTTGAAAAACTTTACACTCTTTTTACCGGAGTATTTTTATTTAGGTAATGAAAATGGCCTTTAAAAATATTCTTTCTAGTCTAAATAAATTCAAATCATATACTTGTACTTTTTATTTTTAAGAATAATAATTTTTTAAAATTCCATAAAAATTGTAAATAATTTATAGGACGAAGAAAATATTATCGTAATGCTTGTGCCAAGAATTCGAGGAAATCTCAACATCACTGACTCCATCACACCACCTAATCTAGCTTTCCATCTCCGAATTTTATAATCCATATAGAAAAAACTCATGTGTCCCTATCTGCGCAACAAGACGTAGATGATTGTAGTCTCATACTTTTGGTCAATGTAAAAATTTTACACTACGACCACAATTTTGAGAAATTTATCATAGCATCTACAATTTTCTTTCTCAAAGCTTTGAGTAGAACTGGAAGAGTCTGGCGAAAGTCACCTCCGGATATAATTGTTTTCTCTCCGAATGATTCTTTTTAGAGTTATTATTAGAAAACCTCATTATATCTTTTATTGTCTGATTCAGTGCCTAAAAAAAATATATTCATCATACATGCTTCATTCCATTTTATAAGACTTGCTTGTTGGAGTAATCTTGAAATTCTATTCATCTTAAAAGTATGTATATTTTATTTTTAATTATTATACTAATTTTGAAATAAAATAAATTTTAAAAAATTTAAAATCTCATTACATATTGTAAATGTTTTAAGAAGGAAGAAAGTACTCCCTCCGTCCTATAATGATCTTCCCGGTTCGCAAAACGAAGAAAAATCTCAAGTTTTTTCAATCTATTTTATTTAAATATTGGTATAGAAATAAAAAATAAAACATACTCCCTCCGTCCCATGAAACATGAGATGTTTTGCTTTTTGAAGAGATTTAAGGGAGTGTATTTTTGTATTGAATTTCTAAAAAGGTCCTTTGATGTGATGGGTAAAAGTAAGATTTGATGGGTAGATTATTAGTAAAAAGGTATGATGTGATAGGTAGGGTATGAAAAAGTAAGGGGTAAAAGTGACTTTTTAATATAAATGAGAAGTGTTTTATGGGACAGATGAAAAAAGAAAGGAGAAAGGTTTTATGGAACGGAGGGAGTACATATTTAAAAACTACACCAAAAGTTCAACAAAACAAGTGGTGACAAGAATATTTTATTTTATCATATAGGTCATGAAAAAACACAAATAAATATAAATTTCCGTAGAGTTGAAATAGTGCTCTGGGAATATCATTATAGAATGGGGGAATATTTAATTTAACATGCCTATTCACACATCGTTGCAGCAATCCAACGTAACGGACAGAGTCCATAGTCTGTAATAAATGTACAAACGGGTCTATTTTCCGTTATTGGCCCCCATCTTCTCTCTCTCTCTCGCTCTGTTTCTCCCTCATCACTCTGTTTCTTTTTTCTTACCGGCCTCCTCCGCCATTTTCTCTCCATAACTACCTAAGATTCCTCATCAATAGATATATACATATACAGAAACTTCTTCCTCTCTATACATGATATGTTTGTGTATAAATGGCGTAGAACTTGAAATTTGTCTTCCATTAATCTGCAAAGTATTACTCCCTAGTAATTGCTGTGTTGAAATTTCGAGCGGAAATGGAGGTTCCTCGTCGGAAGGATGCCGGAGATGCGCAGGCGCCGAGCGTTGATACCGACAAGCTGAGCTACGAGATCTTCTCGATTCTCGAGAGCAAGTTTCTGTTCGGCTATGAGGACCAGAAGGTCTGGATTCCGAAGTCGATTTCTCCCGCCGCCGTGGAGCTCTGCAGGGAGGAGATGGTTTCGTCGTCTCCGGCGGTCAAGAGGCAGAGGGGGAGGGTTTGTGTTCTGTCAATTGACGGCGGCGGAATGCGGGGATTTCTCTCCGGGAGGGCTCTGGCTTATTTGGAACAGGCTCTGAAGCGGAAATCGGGGGATCCGGAGGCGCGAATTGCGGACTACTTCGACGTCGCCGCCGGATCCGGCGTCGGAGGGATTTTCACGGCAATGCTGTTCGGGACGAAGGGGCAGAACCGTCCGCTATACAAAGCGGATGACACGTGGAGGTTTTTGGCGGAGAAGGGGGAGAGCATTTATTCATCGTCAAAAGGAAGGAATTCGAGAAGCGGTGGGATTTTCCGGCGGATTTTCCGATCCAAAGCCGGTTCAGCGACGGCCGGGTTGGAGAAGGCGATGAAGGAGGCGTTCAGGGACGATAAAACGGGCCGGAGCTTGACTTTAAAGGACACGCTGAAACCCATTTTGATCCCCTGTTACGACCTCATCAGTACGGCGCCGTTTCTGTTCTCCCGCGCCGACGCGCTGGAGACGGACAGCTTCGATTTCCGGCTCAGCGACGTCTGCCGCGGGACGACGGCGGAGCCAGTGGTGTTCGAGCCCGTATCCATGCGGTCCGTTGACGGGTCGACCCGGTGCGTGGCGGTGGACGGCGGATTGGCCATGAGCAACCCGACGGCGGCGGCGATCACGCACGTCTTGCACAACAAGCAGGAGTTCCCTTCGGTGAGAGGGGTGGAGGACATTTTGGTCCTTTCAATCGGGACCGGTCAGCTTCTAGAAGGCAGCTTCGGGTTCGAGGAGGTTAAGGGGTGGAAAGCCAAGGAGTGGGCTCGGCCCATGGCTCGTATTTCCGGCGATTGCTCGGCGGAGCTGGTGGACCACGCCGTCGCCATGGCTTTCGGCGATTTCCGCCGCAACAATTACGTGCGTATCCAGGTTGGTTACAGTTACACCGTACTCTCCCTCTCTAGCATGCGCCGCCTGCACACTCCTCACACACTCTCACTCTTTACTTTTTGAGGAAGAAAAATGCTAGGGGTAATCTACCCCACCCCCTCCTTGTCCACTAAAAACAGCAAAAAAAATTTAAAAAAAATAAGTAAATAAAAATCAAATAAAAATGTTGGTGAAGAATGAGGTGGTGTACATTTGGGGTACACCTTTTGGTTTACCCCTAGCATTGCTCTTTGAGAAATTCTAGGGGTACACCATTTGGTGTACCTCATTTGTCCCTCACCCCTTTCTCCACCATTCAATTTTATTTTATTTTTATTTATTTTTTTTTTTATTTTCTTGCCTTTTTTGTGGTGATGGAGGGAGTGGGGGGACAAATGGGGCACACCTTGTACCCCTAGCATTTTTCTTACTTTTTTATTTTAACATCATATCTAAGCACTATATTTGCTTGAACCCGGTTCCATGACCACTGGATTCCAGTGGTCACGGAAGCCACTGCCCCCCTACGAATTTCCGTTTATAAAAGTGATGATTCTTATCCTCTAAGTAAACTCCCGCCAAGTCCCGACCCAAACTAATCACCCCACCTACGTCAATTGCAACTTGTAAGTATAAAGTCAAAAATTTTGACTTTAAAGTCAATTATACTTACGAGTTGCCATTAACGTAGGTTGGGTGATTAGTTTGGGTCGGAACTTGGCGGGGGGTTTACCGGGGGTGTTATGAGGGGGTAGGAATCATCAATTTTATGAACGGAGCTCCGTAGGGGCAGTGGCTTCCGTGGCCACGGAAGCCACTGCCCCCCTACGAATTTCCGTTTATAAAAGTGATGATTCTTATCCCCCTAAGTAAACCCCCGCCAAGTCCCGACCCAAACTAATCACCCCACCTACGTCAATTGCAACTCGTAAGTATAAAGTCAAAAATTTTGACTTTAAAGTCAATTATACTTACGAGTTGCCATTGACGTAGGTGGGGTGATTAGTTTGGGTCGGAACTTGGCGGGGGGTTTACCGGGGGTGTTATGAGGGGGTAGGAATCATCAATTTTATGAACGGAGCTCCGTAGGGGGCAGTGACTTCCGTGGCCACTGGAATCCAGTGGCTATGGAACCGGGCTCTTGCTTGAACCCGGTTCCATGGCCACTGGATTCCAGTGGCTATGGAACCGGGCTCTATTTGCTTTAAAAAGTTTGGAAGAAAAAAAAGTAAATAATTTTCTCCTGTTTTTTTATAAAAAAATAGAAAATTTTGATTTTTGATCCTCTTTGTACATTTCACCTTTTTGTTTTCTTGTCTTTCACTTTTCTTTTTTTTCCTCTCTAACCAAACAAGAAAATTTATTTTTCATCTCATTTTCTTTTTTTTTTCTTTTCAAAATCTTTGAAACATAGTGAAAGAGTTTATCAATTTGATTTTCGGAATCTAAAAGGAATTTTTTAAAAACCAAAAAAATACAATTAGTCCTAGAATAATTTGAGTAACACATTCATTATTAATAAATAAAATATGTTTTCAGAATGCCCAACCAAGAAGAGTGGTTATTCTTCTCCGTCGTACCACACTCCAAACAACGTACGGATGTGACAAAAATATTTTATTTTATCAAATTAATAATGAGAATATACAAACAAACAAAAATTATCGAGAAACCGTAATAGTGACAGTCACATCGGAGAACTACATCCCAAAATTTAAGGCATACAAACAAATTTTATGTTCTCTCTATACTAAAAAAAACTTTCACATTTCCCTTATTTGTATGTCCTGAAAAATTGTTGCATTTTCATTTTCCTTTTTGTTTAAAAATCAGGAATATGTGGTACATCAAATTTCTCTCTATGCTAAACAAATTTAACTCACATATTTTTTTTTTTTTTATTCTTATACGAATTTCATGAAGTGAAATGGGGACTTTTGTTAGACGGGCAGAACATGCTTTACATATTTTGTATAAATTGTAAAAGAATCGTTTTAAAGTGTTAAGAAAACTTGGAAAGGAAAATCATTCTAAAGAAGGGAGAAAGACCAAAGTAAGACTAAAACATTGAAAATATACTAAAAAGAGGACTTACTGAAAGGGGGGAATGTGTGTAGGGTCTATTTATGGCTAGAATTACGTTTATAATGCTATTCCCCCCTCCCTATCTTGATTATAAAATCAAATTAGGATGTAAAATTTCATGATTTTTAAAATTATTTTATTTATAAATTGGTAAATCAATAAAAAATACAAATTAAACATTAAAAAACTAGGTCCAAAGTTCTACAAAATAAAAGGTGACATGATTTTTTTTGGTCAAATAATCAATGAAAATACACAAAAAACAAACGTTATCAAAGGCGATAAAATTGTAATCAAATTGGAGACGGAATGTGTATGTGCTAAGCTGAGTTTGATGGGGTGTCATATAAGCATCTTATTAGAAGTTTTTTTTGAGGACATGGATAGAATTATTAAAATATAAGTAAAACATAAGGTAACAATCAAAATATTACGACTCATATGTTTTTATTATCAAAATAAGACAATAAATCATTTTTACAAAACTACTGCGCCGATTCATCAAAAACAAATCAATATTTCACATTTCTTGCCGTAATGTCGTCATATTGTTACTATGCGCTGATTCATCAAAAACAATTCAATATTTCACATTTCTTGCCGCAATGTCATAATGTTACTAGACCTGGCAAAACAGAACCGCAATCGATTACCCGAACCGAAATATCCGAAATCGAAACTGGAATGACCTGAAAAATGAAGATCCGATCTATAACCGAAAACCCGAAATGATCCGAATCGAACCGAAACCGAATTAAATAATTCATATTCGATTTAAATCCGAAACCGATTAGATCCGAAACCAATAATATCCGAACCGATTAAACCCGAAACCGATTAGATCCGAACCCGATAATACCCGAAACCGATAAAATCTGAAACCGATTAGATCTGAAACCGATAATATCCGAACCCGATTAGAACTAAAATCGATAAATTTCAGAACTATGTTTGCCTTTCAATAAACATATTATATTTTTAAATTTTTTACTTTTATTTTACCATTTGAACTAATTACATTGCTTGCTCATTCCCTCATAAAATAGATTATCTTCTTAAAAAAGTATAAAATTTTATGCCTTAAATTTATTATATGTAGAAAGTAAAGATAAGTTATACATATAACACACAAACAAATAAAATTTTCGTAATTTTTAAATAGTGAAGTGTGATATTCTTTTTGGAACGAAAGGAACATATGATGAATTGTATGGGATAACTAGATTTTATCCTAATTTCATCTCATTACAATAAATTTTATTGATTTGATGAGAGTTAATTTGATTAGTTTCAAACCAATTCACTCAATATTAGTCAATAAAATTAGATGTTAGTGTTAGCATTGTGAAAATACTCTCTAGCGGCAGCCTTTACTGTTATCATTTTCAAATTTGATCTACACCATTACATTTAGGTGTAAAATTAATTATATTTGACTCTATTAAATTTAATTTTCTCTATTTTCAACCAAATATACTCAAATAATGTAGTATGTATTTTGAAACATATTCATCCAGAAACATCTTTTATTACTAATTTACAATAAAGGTATATTCAATTGTACCGTATAATTTACCGTCATGACCCGATGAATTAAAAGCTCATCAGTTATTTTATCCCCATTTTATAAATTTGAAACATTTTGAGAGTGGGCAGAAATATTTGTGAAGCTTTTAAAATTTAAAAAAAAATGGTGTTTTTCTTTAATGACACCTAAATGTTTTCAACATTGTGCACAATTCCGTAAATAGTTGTCATTTTTGTATGCAAAAAAAATATAAAAAAGGTTTTGTGGCATTTTTAACTACAATACAATTTTGCATGGGTCGACAGGCTGGGAAATGGTGTCTGGCTGTCTGGGTATGGGTGGACACTAACGTGCGCCGCTGTGTGTTTTTGGTAGGATTCGAATTTTTCTCGTCCCCAATTAAATTGCTTGTTTAGAATTTATAGAGTCAAACTTATTCACTTTTTTTTTTCATGTTTAATTAGTAATTTGATAAAATAATATAGTCATGTCACCACTAATTTTGTAGATCTTTTTAATTTTTATTTTCAAATTCTACATCATTTTTTATATAAAATGATTTGGAAATAAGTTGAAACATGCCATTCAGATTGGATCGGAGGGGGTACTATAGTAATAATCTCTGTTAGAGAGAGACCACAACTGATGTCTGGTGTGTGGTTTCATGGTTATACTACAGTGGGTAAAAATGTGCATTCAATGCCCACTGTTTCTTTGTCTTTTTGACATGCCTCTATCACCCAACCCAAGATTCATTAATTGAGAACAACAAGATTCTCTCTGTTTTTCACTGCCAAGTTTATGGAGCAACTGTATATTTACTGTCTTTGCATCAGAGCAAAAGGGCAACATAAAAGACTGATACTGGACTTGGGAAGTTTCCATGGAGAGCAAATCCCTTGTCCCAAAAATGTTATCCGTCCCAAAAGCGTTTGCTGCCACATAGCACAACAATGAAGCGACGCCACGTCTTTGTGCTATATGACAGCATTCGTGGGACGGCACAATTTCACTTGTCTGAAACTGCGTGAAAAAATAAATGAAAAGATTAAACAAGAACAAAAGAAGTAGGAGTTTTTGTATGGACCAGCCCTGAGACCTTAATGGGTCTGTTTTGGTTGTATTTCCACACAATTCATTCATTCATGTCAACCAAAGGACCTTAAATGCCCTAACAGTTGGAGTACATAGTACTAACAAGGGAGCCTGCAGGGAGGGTAAGCTAAGGAATTAATTGATGAGGATAATGAATGATGGGAGAAACTCAGACACCTTTAAGCTTACACATGGCCACATGGGAATGAAAGGATAGAGCCAGTCTTTTTTTCTACTATGCAGTTGTCATCTAAACAAGAAAATTGTACTCATACAAGACGAAGTCAAAAATGTGGAAACAGCATTTTTTTTTTCAAATTTTATAAAAGGTTTGGGTGTCGCGACGTGTTCTAGCATCCGAAAAGGATGTTTCGGGGAGGAGAAACGACACTTATTTGAAAAGTTTGTGCCAAAGTAGGTTGTCATCTCCAACTCCATGCATTAGCTTCTGCATAAATACCTATCTTGTGTTTCCACCTGCAACTATTGTAATGCATCAACTGTGGGTTGTTTTTATTCCATTAAATGTACAATGTTATGAGACCGACACCCTAACAATTTGAGGGTGAATTGATTGATTGCAGGCAAGTGGATCATCAACGAGCGTTGGTCATCGTGGGGTAGACTTGGACTGGGATTCAGGGCCGAAGAACACGAAGTTGATGGTGGAGATTGCAGAGGAAATGCTGAAACAGAAGAATGTGGAATCAGTCATGTTTGGTGGCAAGATTGTTGGAGAAGAGAGCAATATGGAGAAACTGGAGTGGTTTGCTGCACAACTTGTTCAAGAGCATCTCATGAGGAGGACTTGAGAGTTGCCCTTTACCTCCTAGCTACTCCTCTCAAACAATGCCCCCCCCCCCCACCACCCCACCACCCCCCGGTCCCGAATCATAATTAGTGAAGAGATTATGAAAAATCATGTAAACTTGCACTCGGTATGTGATATTTGTAACGGGATATTAGTACGCATTTCCAGCCAACTAATGACAAAACATGGAATTTGGATCCGCAATAACGTATGGTGCATCCCCCCCCACCCCCCGCGCAAAAAAACCCATGATTATATGTTATAAAGCATACCATCCGGATTCCAACTATTTGAAGAAATGCATAAAACCAAGATCACACGCTTCTACTTTTCTTAACAACGGTCGAAGTATCAAGAAATACATACGTAGTACTACGTATATAAGATGAAATGAGTATATTTAATCAATGAAATAACGATTTACATGAAGTACAAGCAATTTATTCAAAAGAATAAATTGTCCTTGGTTTATGCAACTAACTACTGTCAAAACAAGTGTGCCAAATAAAATAAAAATCATAAACTGCCCAATTAAAGGCATTATTATTCTTCTCACAAACAACACACTTCGGGAATCTATCAAACGCATACATTTTGTTTATAAACAAAAAACATGCGGCACACTGGCACGAAAGCGTTTCGGAACCAAGACGCTTTCAAAGAGAAACATTGACTGGCTCTGGATTTCGACTCAAGGGTTCTTGTAACTCTGTGTTGATTGGGAACAACATGCACTGAGCATATTGCGCCATCAATTGGTCAACCAGCACCAGTGCTACCATAGCTTCCACCATTGGAACAGCTGAAAATATATACATAGCATACACATTGAATGGAACATGGAATCACTCTCTCTCTCTCTCTCTCATCAATTTGCGTACCCTTTGCGAAAACAGACACTCAAAAAGAAACAAGAATTGGTTAGGAATGAACCTCGAGGAACTACACAAGGATCGTGCCGGCCACGTGCAATGAGCTCAGTTTCGTGCCCGTCTCTTGTCACTGTATTTTGCTTCCTCTGGGTATCATAAAAAACAGCGTGTAAAAACCAACCTTTTATTTTTACTTTGTGAAAGTGTAAAGCTCGGGGAAATGTTACAAGAAAGGAACATGGAAAGTGGAAAGAGGTATAGAATAGTAAGCAAGTGGAAATGCCATTGGGTTGATAATACAAACTTGAGTAATTGACTAGTATGACTACGGTCGGTTCATTTTAGAAGAGAGGGCAAAATAAATACTCCATAATTCACATGAACTTCAAAGAAGATGCCTATTGCATTAATATTTTTGTTCACGACTAAAAAACTGATAAAACTCTTGGGGGTTGAACAGTCAACTAGTAAATCGCTACTACCATGTATTCAGCAATGAAAATAGGACAGAAGAGGAACATACTGAAATTGTAGATGTAGGCTTGAATGCTATTTTCATGTTTATGATTTCTCCATTCGATATTCCACCCTGAAAAATCCAAAACCACACAAATCTCTTTAATTAAAAAATAACAAGTATCTCAAAGTGCATGCCCATATTACTAGAATTAAATATAAATAGTACCTGAATACCACCAGATCGGTTGGTAGTTGTCCTGATTCGACCATGTTCATCCATATAAAATTCATCATTATGCTGACTACCAGTCATGAATGTGCCTGCATAAGGGATTTAAATATTAGCATGCAAGAAGAGGGCATACTTTTCTTTGTTTTCATAACTTTCTAGTTCTACTGGCACATAGGATTTCCAGCCAGAGACAACACTTAAAAGCTTAACGTCCAAAGTGGTGCATTCTTTTCAAGTATGTATGTACCTGCAAAACCACTGCCAAACTCAAATCCTTTGGTAGCAGGTAAGGACATGCAAGCTTTAGCTAGCTCAGCTTCAAGTTTGTCAAAGACAGGAGAACCAAGGCCCTGGTGAAAATAATACCAACTATTTTTAACCTAAGGTAAGATAAGATGCATAAATTCCTCCAAACAACACAGATATTTTATTCTTCCCAAAATACAAAATTCATGTATGCATACGCAACAAAGGCATTTGTCTATACAAAAGAGACAAGACTGAAGACATGCTTACTCGTGGAGCATTTCTGACAATGCATGTAACAACCCCACCAACAGAATCACCCTTCACTCGAACAGCATCAATGGCAGCTATCATCTTTTCAGCATATTCAGGATTTGGGCAACGGACTATATTCCTTTCACTCTGGCATCATTAAGATGAATAGGAATAAATAAGATAGAATATATATTGAGCAGTGACTATAATACCGAAATGCAATTTTATATCAAAGAAAATTATGTTTTTAATTTTTTAAAATAGGCAATTAGCACCTCACCATGTTAGGTAACATGCAAAATAGACATAATCATAACTGGTAGTTACCTCGTCTAGCGTGAGAGTACGGTGGTCAACCAAATCATCAGGAAGTACAACCTTATGCACTTGAGAAACATACGCAATTATCTGGAACAAAAACAGCAATTAAGTTAATGAAAAACCATGAGCTAAGGGATTCAATAGCAAATTAAAGTTACCACAGCATAATATCAATGATGTCTGAACAACATGATCCAATTACAGTCAGCAATCTTGTTAAAAAGTTCCGAGAAACAAATGGAATGAGCAAAACCATCCAAGCCTGTCCCATTGTACAGAGTTTCATACATTTTATTTAATATATCATTGCAGCTATCCAAAATATACTCCGTATTCATCAGCTTCTAAAGATTGATTGATGCACAAAAATCTCCAAGGCCACTTTCATATTTGAAAACAAAGGATCTCATATGTTTGTAGGATCAAAAAGGTTCTATTCTTATCAATAGAAGGTCATATGCTTGTAAGGGTAAAAGGAGTCGCCGGAATATCAAAATAAAACAAGTAATGATAATAATTGGAAAAAAATATGCTAATTCAAGTATCACAAATTTATTCAAGGATCCTTCAGGCAAAAGTGGCACACCTCAGCACCACAAAACTGTTTGAGAATTTTCTTTGCAACTGCTCCAGCAGCAACTCTCCCAATGGTTTCTCTAGCTGATGACCTGCCACCACCCTATATAGTCACCATGCATACGTTGACCAAAAAACAATATCAGTTCATATGCATTAAATTTAAGAATTATTGGTTAAGCTCCAATCAATTAAAATTTTATTTCGTTCTAAATGGCATTACCTGTACTGATCTCACCCCATATTTGAAGTCATAAGTAGCATCTGCATGCGAAGGACGATATGCAAGTGACATTTCACTATAGTCCTGAAATACATTATGTAGTATGAGAACCAGTACTAGGTACAAGACAGCATGAAATTCAAGTCACACTCCATGAAAAATGCTCCAAACAGTAATCATATATTAATAATGTACTTCCTCAAGCGATGAGCTAGAGGAATACAGAATTACAGATATACATTGTTGTTGCAATGATTGCCGAAACTCTGAAGTGAAAATTTCACATGTACAACTCCAAATCCATTCCAAGTACACCTCTAACATCATGAGTCATGACTGTTATGGATATACCAGAAACAAGCAGCCGCTGAAAGTAATTTTATTTCCCCTTTTCATTCAATAATGATGCAGTATACATCCTTACATTTCCTCTCTGATCAGTGTTCGGTACTTCCACTTTAATTGGAGATCCAGTAGTTAACCCTACACTCAAAACACTAATAATCAATACAGTAAATTTTCATATGACGAACCGAAGTGCTAAGAGATGTAATTGACTTTTCAAAAGGGATCTAACCATCAGCAATGCCAGATGATATTTTACATGTGTCGGTCTCTTTTCTAGGGGTTGTGATTCGGCTTTGACCTGGCCTCCTACACACACATTTCACATGAAAAATCACAAGAGAGGTGTCAATGGTTATAGTATGTCACTTCACACTTAAGGAAAGATAAATTAAAAATCATAAATAGTATGAATTACCTTCTATCAAGCTCAACCTGCATATCAGATTCAGAGAGGGGAATCCGTGGAGGGCATCCATCAATAATGCAACCAACACCACCACCATGTGATTCTCCGAATGTTGTTACACGAAAAAAATTCCCATATGTACTGCCTGCCGCCTTTATCTCTGTACAGTTCACAAGTAGGAATGTAGGATGCATAACAGCTCGCATAATGATGGAGTTAAGTAGTGATGGGTGGTTTAAATTGACATAACTGGAAAACAACTGTTACTTATGTATATTTATATATATTATAGAATTGATAGATTGTATTCATATCAATGAAGATAACGCATTCATAGACTCAAATATGCATGGGTATCAAAGTGAACTGTTCTTTGATAGACAAGAAAAAGAGTGGAATAATTCATCATCATCAATGTGACCCTAACTATGTCGGGATTGTTGCCTTGAGATTTATAGCATTATTTAATTTTCTAAAGTTAGTTACACTATACATAAATGTTAAAACAACAACAACAACAATCAAGCCTTATTCCACTAGGTGCGTTCGGCTATACATAAATGTTAAACACCTTGGTTCCCATGACATTGGTTCCCAATGTCATGGGAACCGGCCTCAATGTTAAAACAAAGTGGCAAAATTTTACAAGAATGGCATCATACTGCAAGCTTCAAAAGAAAAAAGTGATTCACTAAAATTAATAATGGATAACTGGATCATTTCTTCATGTAAAATGCTCAATTAAAATGACTAATTTTTAATTTTTATATTTTATTTGGTAGATTTATCCCTCTCAACCTTACATGTGGATCTTTATGTACCCCACAACACAATTTTCAACTTTTATTTTTACCTTTTTAATTTTACGCTGATCTTTATATACTACTCAGCACACAAGAGAGAGGGTTTGAACGATTCATCATCATCATCATGATCAGATTAATCCCAACTTCATTGGAGTCAATGACATGAAAAATATAGCACAAATATAAATATATAATTGTCTAAAGTTATTTTTTTTCTTTTTTGCCTAAAGTTACTTAACACTAAACATAAATGCTAAAAACACAGTGGAAACGTTCTACACAGGATCCCATCCTATTGCAAATTTCTAAAAAGAGGATTTCATCCACTAAATAGCTTAATTGTTTGTCTGACTCAATAAAAATAACTCATTTTTGGGGATTTTAAATTTTGATAAGAAAACCTTTACAATGTACTGGTATTACTCTGTAGTTTGGTAGATTCTATGACTTAAAACTTCAAGTGAGGATTGTTTTGCAGTTTTTACTAAACAATCTACTCAAAACTTTAAGTAAAGATCGTATCTCCATCTATAGCA